ACACAAAAAAATTTGGAAAAAAAAAAAAAAAAAAGAGGAGTGAGTGCGTGTGTGTGTGTGTGTGTGTGAGAGAGAGAGAGACAGGAGAGAGAGAGAGATTTGCCTCCCCTTTCCCTTTTTTTCCCTCCTCTCCCCCCAGCCGCCGAATCATGTCGATGAGCCCAAAGCATACGACTCCTTTCTCAGTGTCTGACATCTTGAGCCCCTTGGAGGAAAGCTACAAGAAAGTGGCCATGGAGGGGAGTAACCTGGGGGCGCCGCTGGCAGCCGCGTACAGGCAGTCTCAGGTGGCGCAGCCGACCATGCAGCAGCACCCCATGGGCCACAACGGGACGGTCACCGCCGCCTACCACATGACAGCCGCCGGCGTCCCCCAGCTCTCGCACACCGCCATGGGGGGCTACTGCAACGGCAACATGGGTGACCTCCCTCCTTACCAGGACACCATGAGGAACAGCGCTTCCGCCACCGGCTGGTACGGGGCCAACCCGGATCCCCGCTTCTCCACAAGTAAGTGGCTCGGGAACCGTACTTTCTCCGCCTTACCTGTCTTGGGCGGCAGGAAGCCCTCGCGAACTTCCAGGCAGGCGAAGGAGTAGAGGGTAGCGGTTAGACTGGAGATCGCCGAGGTGGGGTTTATTTTACCAATTGGTTACCTGAAGTTGATCCGGACACCCTGTCCCCCCACACCCCGCGCCCTTTCCCACGCTTGTCTTTTTCTCTCTCCCACCTCCCTTTTCTTCTCTTCAAAAATAAGCTGTTTCTCATCTTCTCCTGGACTCCGTCATGATTTTAGCCGGAGGCGGGAATGGACAAGCCCTACGTCCCTATCGCCAAACTCTGCAGTTAACCTCATTCAGAGAGAGAACGGAGAAGGGCTTTCTTAGATAAAACCGGGGTGGCAAAGTCCGTAAGGAAAGAAGAGGACAGCTTGGGAGAAGAAGCGAAAGATGGGAGGGGGAGCCTGGATGAGAAATACTCTATATGCGCGTGAGAACCGTTCTCAAAAACATTTGGGCCCTAAAGAAATTGTTCAAATAAAGCCGAGGCTATAGAGTATGTCAAGAGTATAGGATTTCGGCGTTAACGTTGTTTTTAAATGCATGCATGCATGCATTTCGACAAGATGTGGGTCTCTAAACTGCATCTACTCCCTCCAATGTAAATTCGTGTTCTGGAAGATGTCGAGCAGAATTCATAATTACGGGATATATATATATTGTATTATTTTTAAAATGGAAGAGAAACACGCGTAATAATTTGTCAGCTGTAAAGCAGAGACATTAAAGATTGTTTTGAAAGTGGAGTTTATTAATTTTAAAGAATGCTATCTGTATACATGTTATGTATACATTTGTGTAGGTAACAACTGGTCTTTACAACTGGTGCATTTTAACAGTAAAATGTTCTCTCTTTTGTCACATTTCGCTGCCCCGCCTCCCGCTTCTTTCTCGGTAACTTCTTTAGCAGGGGCCCTTGCTTAGCGGGGTTCTTCAGGCCCTGAGAACTGAAGGGGGGAGCTGCAGAATAAGAAGCCTTTCTCATTTACAGATCCAAACTCCACAAAATGATTGCTCAATTTCAAATTTTTTATTTCGAGAAGGCTTCCTGCAGCTTGGTTGTCCTTTTTTCCAGGAGACGCTTGAGATTTTGAACGGCAATTTACAATTTTAGCATTGGGGATTTTAAAAGAGAAAAAGGACGAGGGTGGCGGTGAAGGGGAACTCTGGACAATCGCTTCCTTCCTTTCTTCCTGATCTGGATCCAGATATCACCCTCTCCCTCGGTCACTCAAGTCTCTCTCTCTCTCTCCCTCTCTCCCTCCCTCTCTCCCGCTCTGCTCGCTTGCAGTCTCACGCTTCATGGGCCCGTCCTCGGGGATGAACATGGGCGGCATGGGGAGCCTGAGCTCACTGGGCGACGTGGGCAAGAGTATGGCCCCTCTGCAGAGCACCCCCCGCCGGAAGCGCCGCGTCCTCTTCTCGCAGGCCCAGGTGTACGAGCTGGAGCGGCGCTTCAAGCAGCAGAAGTACCTCTCGGCGCCCGAGCGGGAGCATCTGGCCAGCATGATCCACCTGACGCCCACCCAGGTCAAGATCTGGTTCCAGAACCACCGCTACAAGATGAAGCGGCAGGCCAAGGACAAAGCGGCCCAGCAGCAGATGCAGCAGGAGGGCGCCTCTTGCCAGCAGCAGCAGCAGCAGCAGTCGCCCCGCCGGGTGGCCGTGCCCGTCCTGGTCAAGGATGGCAAGCCGTGCCAAGCGGGCTCCAACACGCCCACGGCGCTCCAGGGCCACCATCAGCAACAGGCGGCGGCGGCGGCGGCCACTGCCATCACCGTGGCCTCCAACGGCGCCAGCCTGGGACAGCATCAGAGCCACCAAGCCAGCAGCGCGGGGCAGTCGCCAGACCTGGGGCAACACGCGGGCAGCAGCCCCTCGTCCCTCCAGAGCCAGGTGTCCGCCCTCTCTCACCTGAACTCCTCCAGCTCTGACTATGGGACGGCCATGTCTTGCTCCACCTTGCTCTATGGGAGGACCTGGTGAGCAGGAGCGCCAGGTTTAGTTTCTCCCCGAGCGCATCCACAGGCGCCCGGCCCGGCCCGACCCGGCCCTGCTCAACCCTTTCCTTCCCTCCCCACTCCCACACCGTCCCTTCCCGACTTCACCCCCGCCTCTCCCATTGTTCTCTCTTTTTTTTTCATGTTGGTTGCTTTCTCAGAGACAAGGGGAGGGCGGGGGATCCTTGTGACAAACAGACAAACAAATAGAGAGAAAAAGACTGCTAAGGAGTGGACTGGCTCTCGATGAAGGTCCTAAACGTAGATAACTCGCTGGAGAAGTTGGCGGCCCAGGAAAATCCGTTCATAGGACCACGTACCCGCGGCCTGACGTGGAACTCCACTGGACGCTTGTATGTACATTTAAAAAAAAAACCACACACGTTGGGGAGAGGGGGTGGGTTTTTCTCCCTCCCAAACCGTCAGAGTCCTCCCCCCCTCCAACACACACGCACGCACGCACGCACGCACGCACGCACAGATCATGCCCCCTCTGAACCCAGACCGTGGAGGGAAGCCCTGAGTTCTAGGATTATTATTTTATTATTCTACCACGGCTTAGTATTCCCTTTCTCCTACACTTACGTTGGATGTGAACCTGTAGCTGTATAACGCTGTCAAGAACGTCGGATAAGCCCACGTTTTTTAGTTGCCTGAATATTTTGTTTATATATCTATATATTCATCATTTTGCTGATTTTATATACATATATTCAACAAAATGATGAATATATATATAAATATTTTTACACAAACGCGCGCGCGCACGCACACACCCACGCACACACCAAACAAATCAAAACTTTTTTAAAGGGAAAAAAATCCACTTTTTAAAAATGGATGTTCACAGATCCGTGAAATTCAGTTTGTTCGCTCTTGGTTTTTTTCTTTCTTTTCCCTGTTACTTATGTAGATATATTTGGCTTTAAATATACAGTACTTCCTAAGAAACTTCTAATAAATTATAAAGATCACAGATATATTTCTCACTGCCTTTGGCTCTTTCCCCTTCTTTCCCCTCCCCCAAAGCAAACCGGGACCTGAGAGCGCTGCAAGTTAAGGTTTCTTCCAAAGGGCCGGTGGAATTCTACCGGGGAATGTGGTCCGGCTCTTTAAACCGGAAGTACCATTGGGTCCATGTTTCGTGAAAAGATAGATATACTAGTGATTCCAGTATTCCCGAGGAACTCTCGTGGCATGGAAGGGGATCGTGTCCGAGATAATAAGAAAGGCATGGAGACAAGGAAATCCAAGTGGCGTCCTTCAAAGGCGAAAGACAATATTTGCAGAGCCACTAATCGAAATTCCGAAAGGGACCATCTAAAGACGCTATTAATGGAAGAGAGGGGAAACTAAGGAGGGACGGGACGACAGGGTTAGGGAGGAATAGCAAATCCTTGTTAAGAGCGTCCAGTTTTATTAACTTGTAAAAAAAAACCCTCCATTTCTACAAAGGTTTCCTATGTAATTGTATTTTAAGGAAAGTACAATCATCTTATTTATAATCAAAATAAAATGATAGTTTATTGTGCACGACGTGTACCGTGTAGTTTGAATTAACTTTAAAACACAGACACCCATACAGGAGTTTATTTATTTCAAAGTAGATATGTAGCGCTCTCTCTCCTCCCTGCCCTCTGCGTCCCCTTTCGATGATGGTTCTGCTTCCTGAGAAATTCTGTCTTGGGCCAGATGGATCAGGAGGTCGCTCCGGGCTGTGAGTCGTGGTATCGCTTATTGTCAGTTTAAGTAACTAGTACAAGTCAGAAAGAAACAAGCCGGGGGTGGGGGAATGTCTTCTGAATACGCTGGATTTAGGGTTATGTCAAATCTGTCTACTCTAATGCAAAGCGGGGAGGGAAGACCCAGGCGGGCTCAGATCCAAGTAAGAAGGCTTTCTATTGATTTTACTCAGAGAAGTTGTATGGATACAAAACGGCAAGCCGGCTTGTGCCAAGGGAAGAAGCATGATGGAAAGGCGAAACTTTCTGCTGATTGTGTTGCCAAGAGCCAGTGCGGGTATTTCTGGATAGTGTTGGGCCCAAGGGTGTGTGGATTTTTCTTCCCACCCCACTTTTGTTTTGCTTTGCTTCTAAACTCTGCTTTAGAAGCCCGGCTAGCCCTACGTCTATAATCCTGGCTTGGTCTCGCCATCTCCAGTCACTTGTTGTTGTTGTTGTTGTTGTGGCCATCCTGTTGTTGGAAAAATCGGTTTTCAGAAAGCAAAGCGAGAGGATTTGTATGAAGGGAAAGCCACAAACCATACAGCCTTAAGAAGACGGCCGGAAAAGCCTCATCAGTAGGTCCCACTCACTTTCTGGGGGAGACGACTTAAATAAGGACGACAGTGATCATGAAAATTACCTCCAGATCTTTAGGGAGTGACGGCTTGGTGTTTTAGCAAAGCTGTTAAGTTTCCTCTGTAATATACTGTATATATACCTCTCGTTGACAGAGGAAAAGAGAGAAAGCGAGAGACTTCGGTCAAGTGCTAACAAAACGTTTCCAGCTGTTCTCTTTTGGCTAATACTATTTTCCCCTCCTTCTTTTATAACTGGGCGCTAAAATTAGCACCCGCAGAGCCCAAAAAGGAGCACTCGAGGCTGTCATTTCAGATTCCATCGTGTCTTCTTCTTCTTTTTTTTGGCTTATTTTTTAAAAAATATATATATATGAAAAGACTGCAATAACCGCGTTGAAGGTCCTGGCAAAAGGGAAACCACTGAGACAGAAGCCGTTGCCCATCATAAATCGATGTAGCTGGAATGGATCCCCCTGAAGTCGGTTCCAGTTTTCCCTTCTTGGTAGAACAGGATTCTAGCATGTGCCCAAATTCGTTTCTGCCTTGAGCTAACTGCGTTGAGTGTCGGGAGGGGAATCAGCGTTTCATCCGGTTTGTTATTGTTGATTTCCTAGAGTAAATGGTTTCCTATAGACAGCAGTGCGTAGGTCAGCCCAGGGAGGTGAGGGGCAGCTATAAATCATTCCTTGAAGGTTTATTATTTTTCTCTTCCCCTCCCCTCCTCGCACCGCCCCCACAGCGCAGCGGCCTTAGAAAAATAACATGGAAACAACTGATGTTTGTCGCAAATAGCCTTAGGGAAATAAATGGATATAGTGTATCTGGACACGCTCATAAACACATATTTGGTGGTGGGAGTAATGACTGTAATGGATTATTATGTACACTGACTTATCTTTCTGCAACTAGATTTAGTTTCGATTAAATAAACTGGCTTCCACTTTGTCTGATGTCGGCTTAGTTTAAAGTCTATTTGCTTATTCCACAGAAAGGTGAAGTCGTCCCTTTATAGACCTCTAGAGTCCAAGCAAACACAATTCAAATTGTATTTACATATCAGCCAGAAGAAGTGCAAACAAAGCCACTCCAACAAAATTATAGTTTCTCTCTCTTTTCCGAAGAAGAAATGATATCATTGCTGTTTAATCAAACTTTCTTTCTAGGGTCCAGCTGGGTGGAAATTTAGGCCAGCCAATTTTTTAAAAAATATTTTTTTAAGGGGAAGAAACGATATTTTAGAAGGTGCTGCTTCTCTCCAAAGACGTTCAGTCTATTTGAACAATTATTTCTTTAACTCTGACATCACAAATACTTTTGATTTAGAAGTGGGTCCCTTTGATTTGAATGGAACTCGTTTTCAGAGAGCTTGGCCTGCGCATTGCAAACTTCAACAAATGAACATAGATAGGCAGATGACAGGCAGACAAGTTTATATGCCCCCATGAAAGGAAGTAGCTGGCCTACTAACATACTTAATGTTTCCTCCCCCCACCCCCAGACATGGAGGTTTCCAGTAATTAGGAGAAGGAAAGAAAGAGAATTAATTAAATTGGGAAACGAAGAAAACAAAACGAGTGTTCAATTTTAAACTAAAGGTGGATTTAATTCCCCCGTCCCTCAAAAAAAGAAGAAGAAGAAGAAGAAGGAGAGAGAGAGAGTGTGTGTGTGTGTCTTCTGCTTTAAAACAGCAGCACCAGCACCCAGAACAACCCCAGAACAATAGCTAAAGGCAAAGAGATTAATCCGAGCAAGCCATTTCCCTTCTCAGACTCTTCTTCTAGGTATGTGTAGTGAAGGGCCTCCTTTGAGGTAAACAAGACTTCGTATTCTAACAATATTGCAAAGCGTGGACAGAAGGGACAAATCGTGTCGAGTAGGGTGAACAGAACAGGCTAAAGATTCGCTATATTTCAGATTTACTACCAAAGCATCGCACTTGAAGTTCCTAGGAAATATTAATTTATTTATTTTATACCGTCCTCATCCCCAGGAGAGGCCCAGAATCGCCTCTTTGGAAGTGGGGTGGGGGTGGGGTGGGGGAAGGGAAACCAATGTACCCAGTGGAGAAGATGAGCCGTTTTCTCCCCCAAATATTATTTGGGGTTAGGAATCCCACCACCACCAAAGCAGGACGGGGGGGGGGTTTCTTGCATCAAGGGACCATATAACTGGGAAGCGCCCCTTGATGGTTGTTTAGGGGCCGGTGATCTTCCCCAGTGCAAGGCCTGGACGATGGCGCCGGTGGCAGGCCGGAACTAGAGTGAACCTAAGGGAAAAAAATAGCCGTCGGAGCAGCTGCAAAGGGCCCCCATACAACGGCCTCGCCGGGGACGGGGTGCTCTGTCCAGGGTCAGTTTCGATGAAAAGAACCTGAAGGTAAACACGGGGTGGCTCCTGTACGTGGACAGTCCTCCGATGCTGCGCGTCCTGGTCTGCCCAGTTAGTTGGCGGAGGGCTGTTCCGTGTCGGTGTGCAAGCGTGTGCGTGTGCGCGTGGAGTGGGGGGGAGGGAGAGGAGGTGACCGCAAATAGAACTATGATATCTAAGCTATCAAACAGTTCTGAAAGGTAGAACTATCCTCCTCTAATGGCAATTTGGTGATTAACACGAAATGACTTACGATTATTTCTCACCTCAGGCAAAAGCGGGATCAGGTAAGGTCAACCCTTTATATACTTGATGCACGAGAAGATCAGTTCCTGGGCTTCTCCGACGCTGGGATCGCTAAGACAGAGAGAGAGAGAGAGAGAGAGAGAGAGAGAAAGAAAGAAAGAAAGAAAGAAAGAAAGAAAGAAAGGGGGGGCTGATAAGGAAGACTGGGTGCCGGTATCCCTCCCTGCCCCCGATCTTCAATAAACTGGTCAGGAAGAAAGTTTCAAAGGGAGGGACTTCTTCCTACCTTGTGTGGTTCGGGGGAGCGGCCTGAAGGCATCCTTACTTGGGCGTAAGTTGCACAACAGAACCTCGTTAAGAGCAGGGGGACGTGAGCCAAAAGGCCCTTGTTGGAGGAAGAGGAAGAGGAGGGAAATGATGGGGCAGAACAGCTAAGGAGGCTTCGGAACATTCGCGTTTGCAGAAAATTGTGTCTCAGCGTTGACGTGAAGGCTTGTCAAAGTCTCTCTGTGTGTAGGAGGGGGACTGTGACTGCCAAATTTTTGTGACTGCCTTTTAGCGATCTAATCTTAATCAAGAGAAATTTGGTGTCATCAGCCTAGAAGTGGCATGAGTAACTTTTTCTATCCTGGGGAACGGGAATCCCCTGCTGGAGTGGCTTCCACAAGCCACACATTTCTTATTTAGAATACTTTCGCTTGGGAAGCAGTTGATATTCATCAGATCTATCTCCACTCCATTGTCTAGATCTTTCCTAGTTGTGCTTCACGGTTGGTCGTCCGTTATATTTTTGAGGTTTTCCTTCAGCCTCTTCTGTGTGTCGAATGAACTGGGTTCTTTCTTTTGTGGCATCATCATTCCTTTGATCAAAACCGTCAAAGTATTTTCGATTTAACTTCTGGGGAAAGCGCAAGTGGAAGTTTGATATGTTTGTTTCCATTTAATGATGGGTCGCCAGGACGGGCTCCCATTTTAACAAATTTCAAGGGGAAATCGTTAAACACTAACCCTCCCCAGAACGGTGATGGGACGAGGATTGAGGGAATCATTTCCGCTTGTAGAA